GAAAGTTAAACACATTTTCTCCTTTTGATTCAGTCCAAGATCCTATCTCATGGGACACTGTTACCCAAACTCAGGCAACACCTTCCTTCCTTCATTAAGCACTTTTGGAAATAATCTTATAGATATACATAGATGTATGATTCCATAGTGATTCTAAACCCAGTTAAGTTGAAATGAAGACTAGGCACCCATAACTTCACACCTTGTCAACATAACAACCAAGCTCATCACATTAAATTATAGTATTCTACCTCTGGTCCCCAAAATCTTACTTTCATCACATAATGCAAGATTAATTAGCATATCTCTAAATTTCCCACAATTTAAAACAGTCTCAATATTGCAAACTTTAAACTCTCTTCCAAGACTCAAGACAATCTTTGAACATAAACCATGTAAAATCAAGTTACAGACTTCCAATGTACAACTGCACAGAATAAATGTTCCCATTCCAAAAGATAATAATAAGAATATAGAACATTCCAGATATAAAAATAAAGTCCAGTAGGTGAAACACCAAATCCTTCCATTTCACATCTGGCATCTGAGACTTTCAACAAATTATCTGGGCTCCTGTACTCTTCTGTAGATCCATCTCTCTAGCAGTGCCACCTACAGCATAGTGACCTTTCATTTGGGTCAGATCTACTCCTGGTGGAAACTGAAAAGTCTCAGCATCCCCACTAACCTAGAGTCTTCATTGAAACAGCCTTCACCTTTCCAGCCTCACATAATAGCCTCTCAGAGCCTCCTTGCATGAAATATGTCTCTGCCATACACTGCCTGGACTCAGACTTTTTGAAACCTTTGTGAAAACTTCTCTGGCCAGCTTACATTTGTATTAAGTTTTAAGTATTTCATGCTTAAAACTAGCATCATGTGGATGATGCATCTATCTGATACCAGGTCAGAAAGTAGTCTGAATCCTTCTTTACCAGCAGCTTTTGTGTGCCTTCAAGGATTATCCTAAGGAAACAGCTTTCTTTGGTTGCCACTTTAAAACAGAAGACGCCATTAACAGCTTTCTCAGTTAAGGGTCTCTCCTTTCAAATGAACTTGTATATTCACAAGCTATAACTGTGACAGATGAAGTATTGCCTTCAAGGTACTTTTCCTTTTGTCCCAGTACAAAGAAACACTAGATTTATTTGCTAAGGATAGCCCCTTTAACAATAGAAGATGCTGTGATAGTCACAAGAGACTGAACATACAAGACGGTAGACATGAATAATGTCCAACAGAAAACCATACATTTAATTAAAAAGTTGAGATTTTAGGATAACTAAATTGCATAGTTCTCAAAGCTTGAACTATGAAAATGGCAAGGTCATGTCAAAACATCAAAGTGTCGTACAAGTAGGCCACTCACCTTGCCTTTAATTTTAAACTCATACCACTGTCCTCACGAAACTATGTACTACTATGTTCCATTTGTTCCTTCCACAATTGTCCTGAATGAGATTGGTCAACAGTAAGTATGGCACAGTCCAAATGCTACACTGTCTTGAAATTTCTTCTCAAACAAATTAGTTCATTGCTTATTAGTTCACTCTTTAAAGATACTCTGATTCAGACATAATAAAACCAGATTCTTTGCCAAAATGTAAAATGAATGAGCTACTGTGTCCCTATAGAGTTCTCTTCTAAACCTTATGAGCTTTGCTACACTATCTGTATGCCTTGACATTCTGGTCTTTCACCTTCCCTGTGGAATTGTTCACTAACCTCTGCTTATCATATTCTAGGTCTTCTTTGGGCCAGTGCTCCAAAGACCTCCAAGTTTCTCTTACAAACCAGCTCCAAAGGCCTTATGACCACATGGTCAGGTTTTTTTTACAGCCCAGCTCAATTTCTCAGTGCCAATGTTCTACGTTGGTTACTTTTCTGATGCAGGTAATAAAACAACTTCAGGTATACTACTATAGTCAGGGCAGAAAAGGAAGGAAGACAGGAATGTGGAGTGGCTCATCACATTGCGTACACAGGCAAGAAGCAGTGAGAGATGAATGCTCACTTTCTCCTCTTTATTCATTCTAGGATCCCAGCCCATGGTATGGTGCTACCCACATTAAATAAAGGTCGTTCATGCTCAGGTAGATCTTTCTGGAAACACTCATAGTCACACAGGTGTGTGTCATGACATTTCTAAATCCATTGATGTTGCTATGAAGAGCAACCATAACATTCCTCTTCCACCATGTATTACTTTATGTGTGTTATATGGGCATGTTGGGGGTACAAATGCCTTTGTGGGCACATGAGAATCAAAGGAGGACAATAATGTCCCTCTCTATATACCTTGGCTTCATAAGACCTGCTCTTAACTAGACTAGGAGTCATGAGGTCTCCCCATCCATCCTATCTCTCCAGCACCACCACACTGGGTTATGGGTGCAAATGTGAACATAGCTAGCCCTTAATTTTAATTAGTGCATCATTAAATGCCAACTGTATGACCAAGAATGTCATATGACATATCTGTAAGCTTATGCTCTTCACCTGTTAAATATTAGTTTATATCTATGATCAGCCAGCCTTTAGAAAACACCTTAAAAAGGTAAGCATTTGATCAAGTTCCACATAAATAACCTCATGTTAACACAAATATCCTCATAAGTCTTATAGAAAATCTAGACTCCAAAGATTAAATTTGGAAACAAACATATATGACTGCTGTTTCTGGAGAATACTTTAAAAAACGTCATCATTTCGCAGCACTGTTTTCATAGAAACAGGCTGCAGTGACTATTTCAACAAACTGTGGTACAGAACTACACTTGGTTGAAGATCACTCAGGAAGCAGCAGGCATCCTCTAAGGGCTCACAGGCTTTCCTTCAAATTTACATTAAAGGAAGTGTAAAGCAAACAGTTTGCAGTCTTCTATACTTCTTGCTAGACTGCAAATGCCACCGAGTCACAGAGCCAAGTAATAACCAGGAACTATTAAGGGCGAAACTATACTTTGACAGTTCAGCAAATACAAAGAAACATTTCTTTGAGTGATTCCTGTTTTAATTATGAGTAAAAGCTTACATAATTTCAATTACAACTTTTACTATACTATTCAATAAATACCCTGTAATCAACAATGATTACTTAGTATTACTGGAGTAAAACACATTGCCTTAAATGCCTATGTCTACTCAAAAGCAAATTAGCAAATGAAAGCAATAACTCAAAGGAGATGAGAAATGACACTGTTCCAGACAGGACTATGAGGAATGTTCTGTGTCAACTTCCCATTGGCCAAACTGTCTATTCAAAGTCATAGCAAGCAGAGCTGCAGAAAGTAATGCCTTTCTGAATCAAACAAAGTGAAGATGGTTCTAGCAGCATAGTATTGTGGGTAATCATGCAAATCTTTGTAAAATATAAAATTTTACAGAGAAAAGATGAGATGTACATAAGTAGCAGAGCATTCCCACAGGTGCACATGATGACTCAAGAAGTGTGTAAACTAATCTATTGCTGCCTTTGTAAAGTAAAGGCTATACTAAATATTTCTTTCACTTGTCAATACAAAGTCATGTATATTTGTAGTTATTTTAGTAAGTATTAAAATATTATGCTTCCACAAGGTAGCCTTATTACTCTAATTGTTGTATTAATGTAGTTAACAGAGAAAGATTTTCACTAAATATATTAAATAATAATGGACAAATAAAACATGAATTCTCTTCTGGAGTTTCTGATTTTCCACATGAAACTGTTTGACATGAGTGGATTCTTCCCAAGTTAATACATGCACATAGTTCTTTGTCCAAAACATTTTGGCTGGTTCTCCAAAAATTATTTCTTCCATTAATTTTATGGAGACAAAATGGCAAAGAAAAGTCTGTGCCTTCTAGTTGGAGGCACCTTCTAGTTGAAGACTGCTAGTTGTTAAGATTCTCAACTGTGAGCTGAAGGAAGCAGAAGCAGAAACCACAGCTAAACACTGAACTGAACTCCTGGAATCCAGTTGCAGAGAGGGAGGAGTGATGAGCAAAGAGGTAAGACCAGGCTGGAGAAACCACAGAAACAACTGACCTGAACAATGGTTAGCTCATGGACCCTAGACTGAGAGCTGGGAAACCAGCATAGGACTGACCCAGGCTCCCTGATCGTGGCTGTCAGATAGTGGCTGTCAGTATTTATGCCTAGTATGTGAATGAACTTTGGGATACTCTCTCAGCATAGAAACATGGAGGTGGGCCTAGGCCCTGCTCCAAATGATATGACACACTTTGAAGATTCCCCATGGAAGGCCTCACCCTCCCTGAGGAGAGTAGGGGATTGGATAGGGGATGGGGGGGCAGGGGAGAAGGGGAGAGATAAAGAACTGGGACTGACAAAGTTAAACAACTTTGTTTATAATTTAAATAAGAAAGATTAAGGAAAAATTATACACACACACACTGGGAAAAAAGAAAGATTGTGGTAGGTGATTGGCAACTGGGAAAGAGTGAGACTATGGATGTTGATACATCCTTTTTAAATAGGATATCTTTAAAGAAACCCTTAAGTTTATGGAAAACTTACAAGGACCTTAGAATCTCATGTACCTCCCACCCCTATATGTGCATTGCCTGTCCCACCAGAGCAATACCTTTGTTACCACCCAAAGTATTTTGCTAATACTATTCCTTATGAGGAATTTTAAAATACCGAAATTCGCCTACTGAGAACACATTGGTCCCATTCTTCCTTCCATTGCTTCTATTAATTTCATTATTCTTTCTGAAATTAGATTTTCTACACAAGAGAAAATTTCACAAATCACAAAACATCATCACATAAAATGAGTGCTGGAATTCCACTCCAATGGTGAGTTGTGCTTGGCAAGAGTTCCAGTTACCTGCTCAGTTAACTTACTAGGGAAACTTTTCACATCCTTACAACCAGAGCCTAAGTATGATCCAGTATTAAATTCCTCAAACAATAAATCTCATGTATCAGCTTAATCTATCTTTAGTTTTTATTTAACCTAAATAAAAAGGGAATTGTAATATTGACATACTCAGCTGCCTGTCTGAAGTGTTTCAAATCTTTCTTCAGGTTTTTGTTCTCGCTCTCAAGAAGCATCACCTGGCTGTAGACATCTGGAACGTTCCCGAGTGCCTTGAGGTCAGTCCCTCCCTTCTGTATTAACTCATACCTAGGACAAATCAAACAACAGGTTTATCTCAGTTTCTGGCTTTTAAAAATGACTGTGTGTAATTCAAAATGTCAACCTGAGGGAATCTCGTAGAAATTAGTTGCCATATTCTACTCACAAGTTAAACATTAATATATTATTAACATGAAATGTCAGTTAATCTTGCCTTTTAAAATACAATTGGTCATCTATGTTCCACTCACTTAGTTACTAGAAAAAACATCAAAACTGCCTTAGTACTTATACTCAAGGAATTTCTAGGCCAGCAGAGATAGTAACATGTTCTAGGAAGCAGAAAATAGAGGAGATAGACTATCAGGTGTTTGTACTGTTTTGTATAGAGCAGCCATGACTAACAAGCATGAGTGTCAGAGACTCCAGCAGAGACCTGAAGGAAGGAGGAATGATACCATGTGGGTCCTGAATGCACAGCATCTGAGGCTGGCAGAAGGTAAATGCAAAGGCCCAGAGACACAGACAAGTTCAGCTTGAACAAGAAAGAGCCAAGGCCAGTATCTGTAGAATAGTAAGAACTGGAGCCAACAAAGTGAGCAGAGGAGATGCTGAGAAATGTTAGAATCAAAACAAGGGGCCAGCATTGAAAAGAAAAATGATTTTACTCTGGATCAAGGTGAAACCATTGGAATATTTTGGGGGGTAGGACAGTGATCTTATTTATGTTTCAAAAAGGTGATCCTATTGCAAGAAACAGATTCTAAAGGAACACATGACCCAACCTGGAAGAGAGAGAATGGCAAAGTGAACAAGTGAAATACAGCAGAGGTTGTAAGCGGGAAATTTCTAGACCTGCTATAAAGGTAGCTCTAACAGCATTCGCTGAGGACTCATCTGTCAGTTATAAGCAAAGAGGCATGTCAATGATGGCATTGAGATTTGGGGTTCAGTAATAGACAGCCATTTATATAGGGGGAGCAAAAACAGTAGGAACTGGATAGTTGACAGAACCAAGAGGTTGTGTCTATCTATATCAAATGTAGTGTGCCTAGCACACATTCATGTACAGATAAATGATGGATATACATAGTTCAGGGGAAAGTCAAGGCAGCCAACTTAAACTTGCATTTCATCAGTATATAATGATATTTTACAATCATGACACTAGAACAGACTAGTTCAAGTAGTGAACTGACGAATTAAAGATGCCTGGGTAGTCCCATAAAATACTTCATTGCTTCAAGGTTGGGATGAGGTAGAGGAAGCAAAAAGAGTCTAAGGCCAGAGCAGTAATAGAAACTATGAGGACAGTGGCCAAGAGTCAAGTGAAGAAGAAGGGGGAAATGAATGCTGGTGGAAGAAATGAATGCTGACAAAAGTTTGGAACAATCACTGGAGATGGCAATGTGAAAGTCACTTTTAAAAAGTTTCAGTGGTGGAAAAGATGTGAGTAGTAAGTAAGAAAAGTACACTTTGTCAGGAAAATGTGCCAATAAGGGAGAGACTCAGAAATCAAGATGAACTCGACAGGAAGCAGAGCCAGGGAGTTTTCCCCAGGCAACTACCATGTCAAATACTACTGCACACCTGTGTGCTGATGGTAATGTTCCAGCACAGGGAAAACTCAACACAGGAGCTGACAAATGCAAATGCAGTGACCTTGAATAGGAAAAGCGATTGGATTCTGTCTGGAAGAGCGAGTGGGCTTCAGAGAACCACCTGTGTGGTTCAAAACAGAAAGACACCTGAGGAAAGACCAGCAGGCAGGAAAGAGGAGGGGTATAGGTATGGAACTTGTATTTTCTTGCTAGAATAAAAAGGCAGTGACTGTGGAAGACACAGTCTATGCCAAGTTGAAGAAGTTAGTACTGACCTTGTAATTGCAAAATGGAAAACAGACACAAATCTAAGCTTTAAATCAAGACACATGGTAAGCTTGCCCTGTTGCTAGCCAGGAACGGAAGTTAAGAGAGTGTGGTTTAAGATCATTCTGGCCTGGATGACTTTGCCACTTACTGGCTGTGACTTCGTAACATTTACTGATGCAGATTTTCCATCCTCTCTAAGCCCATTTCCTCATCCATGAAATGAAGACATGTTAGTGGATACTCACCACACACGGTTGTGGGCAGAAATGAATGAAGGCTGCATAAGAGCAGACTACTAGTAAAAATGATACAAGGTCAATTCTCAAGTAATTGCTCTAAGACATCAACTATTTTATGCCATTTACATAATTATTATTTGCACTAATGTTTTTAATCTAAATATTCCCCTAGAAGGCTGACTTCTTCATATCTTAGTACATAAACCTATCCACATATGTTTAATTGCTCAAATCTGGCATATTGGAAATTGTAAGAGTTATCATAGTAAGGGTCAAGACATTCCTGTGTTTAGTTTAATTGTGTTAGGGGAATGTATATATGACACATACCCAGAAGCCAATTCCACACCAACTGAAGAAACATCATGAAGTTTAAATGATGAAAGAATAACTAGCTTCCTGGAATTCACTGAGAGTTGGTATGTAGTCATACTATACACATACTTCCTACACACAACAAGCAATGTGAGGGATTGTTTCAAAGTTAATCTTAATTCTGATCTTAGTCAGTTGAAAGAAGTTGTAACTATATTGTTCATAACTGAATCATTACAGTACACAAAATTTTATTGGCCAAAAGCTGCATCACTTACTTTTGCTCATAAATTGAAGGACTATACACTAATTTATAATCTCTTTAATTGGGAACAAATTAAATTAGTAATTAAATGCTATAAATAATCTCACGACTTATTTCCCTCCACAAGATTTTTAGTACAACCCTAACTTCAGGGAAATGGTAGGAGCAGAGACAAACTGAAGTGTACCCAGGATTGAGAAGGATGTGGGAAGCAAAGGAAGAAGAACACTGTGCTTCAAGATAGACATTGGTGGTGACAACACACATGGCTAAGTGACTGGACATGACTGTAGAGAGGAAAGTTAAGGGATTTCAAAGTGACACTGCCATTTTCTCATTTTAACCCCATTAGTTTTGCCCTGGAGCATCAATTAACTTTATATGAGTACATCTAAAAAGACAGCATTGAACAAACCTACAATGGAGGCATGTCAGTACTCCATAAACAAATTTCTACCACTCTGACATGCATACATATATAATTATATACATATAATTATATAAAATATATAATGTGTGTAGATATATCATAGAAAATCATTTGAGGACTTTTGTTAGGAATTCTGGAATACTAATCATTTAAAACTTGTAAAACCTGCTTTTTGTGTTGCTCTTCACAGACTCTGGTGTGGCTAATTAATTTTGCTTTTATAACATGAATATAGTCATTTTCAATACCCACAAGTTATCATGGCTTTATTTCAATAAAAGTTTATTTATAAACCAGTAGGCCAGATGTGACTCCCAGGTCATACATTTCTGACACTGGAGTTAAAATATGTTCTGCATTTATTGTTTGAGGACTCAAAAACCTGGAGTCAAATATTACTGCCCAGATTTCTGTTGGCACGTTTTTTTCTTTTTAGCACAACCTAAAAACAGGCCAGTATTGATGGTTACTTTTTGTTAGAGAACATGAATTCACAGCAATTCCATATTCTTTGAGGTTTGTTTTACTGCACTGAAAATACACTCAGTCAACATAGTTGACTGAATCATGAGTACTTAGGAGGCTAACACAACAAAGCTATGTGTAAGAGGCCAACATGAGCTACATAGTAAGCCATATTTCACACATTAATTAATACTAATGTATCCACTATTCTAGAATTATAGTCCTACTATATGCATCATAAGTAACAGCTGCTGATCAAATTCAAAATAGTTAATGTAAAAGAAATTATCCAGGATAGGAATAACTACAAAACAGCAGCTAGAAACTGGAACAAAATTAGCTCAACCAAAATTTTACTAAGTTAATAAATATACATTCATAAGTTTTACCTTTATAATATAATGCTAAATGGGTATGTTTATTGGGAACTCCTTATATCCTAATAGTATCTTAGTTTCATGAAATTGTATCTCATGAATCATAATGCTAACTTAGTATCTTTACAATCACCTACTTGTTAAAAATAAATTTGGAGCATGGCAAGATGGTTTAATGGCTAAATCTGACTGCCACACATACCTAGTTATCTGAGTTCAATACCCAGAACCCGCTTATACTTAGGGGAAAACTGACTCCAATTGACCTTTCTATATGTGTGCCAGGGCAAGCACATGTACACAAACTAACATATGTGCACATACACACACATTAATAACAAATAAGAGTTTAAAATAACATTAATATATAATATTTGGATCATAATTATCTTAAGGAAGTCATTACATTTTGTAATAGTCTAACATGTTCTTGAAATACATAAAAATAATTAAGTCATACTAATTTTTCATCTATTTAGTTACAAATTAGCCACCTACCTGTATTTCTAATTTACTTACAATTATTATTTCTTTAGGAAAATTTGTACAAAATTTCTTTTAAACCATGCACACAGTTTCCAGGTTTAAAAGCAACATTCTCCTCTTATTGCCAAATGCGCTATCTCTTAGTCTGTTATTAACAGAACTCAGTTCCCTCATAAAATGTATTATATTATATGTGCAGTCCAATAATCAAGTTTGAAAAGAAATTGCGCTGAAACGGGTGAGTTGGGAATAGGAGGGAATGTCAATACAATACTAATAATATTGTCAACAATACTAATAATATTGTCAAAATTTTTAAAAATAAAAAAACTGACTAGTTCTATGTGTATATTATCAGTGGACCAAGAAAGTAAAAAGGAAATCCTATGTACAGATGAATTTTAAAAAGTAGAATTCAGCCACAAAAATCTGTAAACATTTTTGTATAGATATCTACTCTCTATAATATTCAATATCTGGTAAAATAACACTTGTTTACGTCGATCATTTAATATTTTTTAAAAATATTAGGAATCCAAAGACCATTATTGTTATAGCAAACGAATAAAGACAGCATGCCTGCTGGTTTTCACAATCAATAAGACATTAAAATGTTTATTTTTAGCAGGAAAATTATATTAGGGTAATATCTGAAAATACAATTCAGGTTTGTTCTACATCAAATCATATCTTTAGAAAAAATAAATCAGCTGTATAAATACAGAAAAATAATTTTCATCATAAATAAAAAATAAGTAGTGTTAGGGGTTATCTAAAGACACAAAATGATACCATTATAAATTATGAAAACCTAAGAGGAAAATATTTCAAAAATAGTTTTTTGCTATATACGCAAGAGGACATTTCATTCCCTTGGTCATGTGAAAAGAAGCTAAATTTGCCTCCTAAAAAGGCATTGAGTAAAGTTTTATTGGGAAGGATCCCCTGACACTGGAATAATTTATTCCATACATGTAAGCTCATACCTACAGTCACCAGGAAGATGGAGTTCTGACCATCCTTTGTGGGATTACTTTGATTTTGTCAGTTGATTTGGGAAGATCCCTCTTTATAATGGACAGGATCCTTACCTGGGCATGGGACCCTGGACTGTATAAATGGAGAAAGTGAGCTGAGAATGAGCATGCCATTCACTCAATGGCCTCTGCTTCCTGACGGCAGATGCAGTGTCAACAGCTGCTTTGACGTCCCCATAATAACAACTGTAAACAACATAACCTGAATTGACTCCCAAATAAACCTTTCCTTCCTTCAGTTGTGTTTGTATGTTACCACAGTAACAGCAAAAGAAACCAAAATACTTATTTTGCAACGAAACTTAAATTTACTCATGTAAATGTGCTAACATTTCCAGAGAACTACCTATCTAGATAAAGGTTTACCATTCGGCCTGAAAGCAGTCCAGGGTTCTGGTCATTTCCATTTTGATCAGGAAATTACAGAGAAAATCTTCTATGGCTTCATGCACTACATGCCTTGAAGGAAGAACTGTTTTCTGCTCCTGAAATTTAAATGAACAATTATTTATTCTCTAAAAATTAAGATTTTTTGAAGGAATTGGTAGACTGATCATGTACTGATTTTGTAATAATTTTTTCTAAAAAACATTATGTACCATGGTTAGTTTAATCATTAGGAATAAAACATTGGTGAAACAAAACATTTCTATTCCCAATGTAATAGTTAAGTTTGTTTGTTTTGTTTTGTTTTTCAGGGCAGAATTTCTCTGTTTAACAGCCCTGGCTGTCCTGGGACTCGCTTTGTAGACCAGGTTGGCCTCAAAGTCACTGAGATCTGCCTGCCTCTGCCTCCCAAGTGCTGGAATTAAAGGTGTGCATTACCACCTCCCAGTTAGAGTCTGATTTTTTTAATACATAAATAAATTAGTCTTCTTAAAGACTTTACACAATACCTCCAATAGTGGAAATTTGATAAAAATGAGATACATTGGAGAGTGAATTGTAAAATATCATAACAAAATTGTGAAATGAAAAGACTAGCAACAAAATTCAAGATATAGAAAGGTGTAGGCATCTGGTCTGTGGACCTGTGACGGTGGTCAAACCCCTTTGGGTACGACTTCAGGCAGATAGAAGCATAAAGAGAGGAGCTTAAGGCATGGCTTTCCTTTCCATGCTCTTTCTGGTGGGATAGCAGATCTGGTTGGAAGAGCAGGGAAACCCTCCAGTGGTTCTTTGAATTTTTCTGTGTAATTTTTCCGCAATAAAAATCCATTTATCATTTATCTTGAGTCTAGTGATATAATGACATCCTGCCTTTAGAAAGGTTTATTAGAAAAGTAGATTGTGGGAAACTACAAATACTCAGTCCTTCAGAGCACCCTCACATCTGCAAACATTAACTGTATTTTGCGGCCTCTTCTCTCTCCTTTAGGGCATGACTCCTCAGAGAATGCAATCACATCCTCCTTCTGTGTGGCTTTGCTCTTTTTTTCCTAAAATTCATTGTATTCCTAGATGAATATCCCTAACTCCATTTTTGTATCTCCTAAGCACTGGGCACTGGGAACCCACTCAGCATGCACTCACATCCAAGCCACAAACCCAGCATAAATACTACTGATGATGGACGGCAGCACCACTGTGCAAGGGTATTCAAGTGGGGCTATTCACAAGACTGTTTTCAAACCACGCAATAAGTAGACTGCCTTCTTCAGGCATGTGTACCTAGAATTTCATCATCAAGAAGGAATGCCAATGCAAAACAAATTTTCCCATTTTTTTTGTTTGTTTGGTTTGTTTGTTTGTTTTTTGGCCTTTAAATTTTTTTAAATTAGAAACAAGCTTGCTTCACATGTCAATCTCAGCTCACTCTCCCCTCCTCTCCCACTCCCCCACACCTGGTGCCACAGCCCCCCACCCAATCCCTACTCTGTTTCCCAGGGAGGGTGAGATCCTCCATGGGGGGTATCCAGAGTCTGTCATTTTGTTCAGGGAAGGGCCTAGGCCCTGTCCCATGTGTCCAGGCTGAGAGCACATCCCTCATTGTAGGATGGGCACTCAAAGTCCATTTGTATGCCAGGGATAAATACTGATCTACTACCCAAGGCCCCATAGATTGCCTAGGCCTCCTCACTGACACCTACATTCAGGGGGTCTGGATCAGTCCCATGCTGGTCTCCCAACCATTAGGCTGGGGTCCAAGAACTCCCCCTTGTTCAGGTCAGCTGTTTCTGTGGGTTAAACCAGCCCAGTCTTAATCCCTTTGCTCATCACTCCTTCCTCTCTGTCACTGGATTCCAGGAGTTCAGTTTAGTGTTTAGCTGTAGGTGTCTACCTCTGCTTCCATCATTCACTGGATGAAGTTTCTGTTTCCCAGACTCTCTGACAGTGGGATTGTAGGCTGGCACTCCCCTGATCCATGTCTAAAATCCATATATGAGTAAGTACATACCATGTTTGTCTTTTTGTGACTGGGTTAACTCACTCAGGATGGTTTCTTCTAGTGCTGCAAATGACCCATTTTTAAATGAAAGTTTTCTTGTACCATATCATGTAGCAATCTACTGGGTACCTCTAACATTTCTGAAAACATGCTGGGCTGAAGAGGAAAAACAAACACTGCTGATAACTTCTTGCAGTTTGTTCCTAGAGGCCTTGATTGCACTTAATTTTAAATCTATTGTTATGACATTATTGACTTGGTAGTTCATTTTAATCTATTTTATTCTGCAAAGTCCACCAATCTACAAACAGTAATTTATAAAATGCTTCGTCTTCTCCATGACTATACAGAAATAAGTAGATGTGCTCTAGAAAAGTAATGACAGTTCTTAAAGCACCATCTTGTGGTGATAATTTGTTTGTGCTTCTCCAATCTTTCAGCATTTACCCCATCTCAGAATTAGGGTTTTTATTATTAGGACAAATTAGAACTCATGCTACATCTGCTAAAGTAGCATGCAGTAGTTCTGCCCAGTAAATCAGCATTCATGTTCCTCAGCAGCCAAATCCTCTACAAGAATAGTTCACCATGTGATGTGACTTGTAATGATGGATGAATTTCTACGACTATAAAAAAACTAATATTCAGAGGCTGCTAAGCCTGCCAGACTTGCATTTTCTGATGAAGTGAGATTTTTGAAGGAAGCATGGAATAATGTATGAAGTGATAGAATTAGTACATGATTAACTAATTGAACAACTATGTTGGCTAGTTTTTATGTCAACCTGACAAAGGCTGATTTGGGAAGAGAGAACATCAGCTGAGAAAAAGTCACTACCAGACTGGCCAGATCGCAAGCCTGTGGGGCATTTTCTTGATTAATGATTGATGTAGGTGAGCTCAACCCAAAAGGGATGGTGCCACCCTTGGGTGGGTGGTCCCAGATAGTTTAAGAAAGTAGGCTCAGCAAGCCATGAGAGCAGGCCAGTAAGCAGTGCTACTCCATGGCCTCTGCATTAGCTCCTGCCTCCAGGTTCCTGTCTTGTGTCACCGTTTTGAATTTCCTGGATAATGGAATACAAGCTGTTAAATAAAATGAGCCTTTTACACCTTGAATTTCTTTTGGTCATCAAGTTTTATCACAGCAGTAGAACCCTAAATAAAACAGAAATTGGTGCTGGAAACAGGGAAAGGTTGTGACAAAGCAGACTAATTGTGGAGATTGTGGTGGAATTTAGACTTTGGGCTAGAAAAGCTATTGGGTACTCAGAGCTCACAGTGGGTAGTGCCAACCCTGTGCTGGTGTTCCTGGATGCTACAAGAAAGTGGGCTGAGCAAGCCAGTAAGTAGCATTCATTCCTCCATGACCTCTACATCAGCTCCTGTCCTGGCCTGTTTGAGTTCTTGCCCCAACTTTCCTCAGTGATGAACTGTGATGTAGAACTGTAAGATAAAATAATTTCTCCTCCCAGTTTGCTTTTGCCAGTATTTAATCACAGCAACAGAAACAGTAAGACAGCAAACATTCACAATTCCAGCCTCAGAATTTAGCTCTCCATCCCTCTTATACAGCCTTTTTCCTAAGAGAAATCCTGGTTTTAAAGATTTGAGCTTTCAAAATTTTACCAGTCGAGACTGTGTCCTTCAAAAGTTGAATTAGCACTGGATTAAAGGGTATGTGAACACAGTCCTAGATCAAAGGCAGACACAGCATCAGCAATTACAAAGGTCCTAAAGCAAGAGTAAGATTAGGGCCTCTGAAGGACTTTAAAGAAGTAAGCTCGTGCCCCTTCCATACAATATAGCAAACTAAAAAGCAAAGGAAAAAGAAATTAAGAGACCTGTTGATTCTTTCAAATTCTATTAAATAACACAACAAATTTGTTACCTTGTGTTTTAGACATACTACAGCAGAACAATAAATGATAGAAAAAAGCAGTGTATGATAGAAAGAGCAGGAACTGTGATTCCATCATAATGGAAGCAAATGAGTCTATCAACTCAAGAGGGACTTGGAGCATAACCATGGCCATTTGTCACCATGCTGTCCATGGCGACTTTCACACTGCATGGGACATCCAAGTATTCAAGACCCACAATTTTGATTTTCATGACAGACAAGTTTTAGGTTTCTGTATGAGAAATGTTTAAGAAAATAAAAAGTAGAATTAGGTAAAAGCGCGTAACACTGCATTGGGTAGTGTGGTTATTATTCTTGGTTGTAAGCTTGGTTAAAATTAGAAAAGAGTGAAGATAGCAAAGTACATCTCTGGCTGTATGTGTGAGGGTGTTTCCAGACAGTAATTTCATGAGGTCTCTGCCCTGATAAATGGGTTCATTCACTGATGGAATGAAACCATGAGTACTTGTTGAGAGGAGATGGTACTTTGGAAGCCAGAACATAAAATGAGACCAGAGGTCATCAGAAGCAGGATTTAAAGAGCTTTGTGTTTCCCTGTCCCCTTCCAACTGTGGCTCCACTCAGCTTCCTTCCCACCATAATGTGAGATACTTTGCCATGCCTTCCCTTCCATGTTTGGCTGACACCTCTAAAATCCTAAGCAAAAGAAAGTTTTCCCCCTTAAGTTATTTGCATCAAGCATTCTGGCACCATGACAACAAAGCTAACATTGTAAATTCACCACTGTCTTTCAAGTCATTAACCAGAAATCATTCATTTATTTTCTGATTGTTGAGAACAATGGCCTCCGAAACCTCAGTAGTGGCCTTATTTCCTACTGCTCTTTCATAACTGGAAACGTCACACAGAAAGTACAGGATGAGTACAGAGATGCATCCAGGAAGAGGATGGTCATTGATCCAGACAGTCCCTTCCAAACATCCTGTGCAAAACTGAACACAGATACTCTCTTCTACTAGTTGCTTTCACATTTTTTAAAAAGCGGTAAATTGAGGTAAAATTTGAAGCCCACAAAAAATTCTGACAGGGGCTAGAAAGATGACTGAAGGGCTACTTGCTACTCTACCAGAGGACCCAAGTTCAACTCCCAGTACCTATGTGAAGTGATTCACCTGTAACTCTAGCTTCAAGGGACCCATGCCTTCCTCTGGCATCTGCAGGTACCTGCACTCATGTGTGTATATTCACACAGACACATGCACATACACATAATTAAAAAATCATTTTTAAAACAAATCATTATAAATCTACACAGTTTAACTGATTATATTAGAAGCCAATAACTCAGAGTATCCTTCCTAAAACTATTTTTAAACATTATACAACAATGTCTGACCCTCCATAATTAATGCCATTGGAGATGCAGAAGGAGCTAAGGACAGTGTGACTAGGGTCATGTCATTGTGGTATAATATTTACTAGAATGGAAAAACTGTATAATTGCTAGGTAAGGGCTCAATATTATTTCTGAAAATAGCCATTCATTGTCTAATAATAAATGCTTTGTTCACCTTTTTATTTGATAAACGTGAAAAATATTTTTATGTAAGATGAATGAGAGAAGGAATTGAGAGCCTGGAAAGGGAGGAGCAGAAAAGCAGACTAAAGGGAGGGCATTATCTGTAATTTCTAAAAATGCCTATGAGGCTGCCACAGAGCGTGTCTGTGTGCATGGCCCCCAAACCTCAGGAAGGGTTACAGATTGCTAAATTATCCACAAATAATCTAATCTATTCACATGAACCCAAAAGCCTATTGAAAACAAAGGTAGATTTACATATGCTTGGGAAACTAACCTGAAGCATACCAAAAACCAAAGGTAGGCAAAAGGTTAGAGAAACTGAGGATTTGAAAAGCTAAGAAATACAAGCCCAACTCAAGGCCTGTGCAGACAGGAAGCCAGCAAGCCCATCTCAAGGCCTGGGCAGACAGGAAGCCAGCAAGCCCCCTCAAGGCCTGGGCAGAGCACTAAGATAAACAGGTACGTGGTGGAGAGCTGGGGGAGAAGTGGAGTGGCTCCTGAGCTGTGGAGCGAGGTAGGACTGAAGACTGCAGACATGGCAACAGTGAGGAACAGACTGATAGGGTTGCCTATGCTACCACCTGATGCCATGTGACTTCCTTGCCTGTGCTGCTACCAAGTGCCACGTCTGGGTTTGTGGCCCTACTGTAGCCAAGGTCTGCATTGATGTCCATGGTCTGTGTTATCACCAAAGGCCATAGAGATGTGGGAGGTCTGGGCACCACCTGAGACCACATAGATGTCGGAAAGCCATGCTACCATCAGGAACAAACTAATCTGAGTGTCCTGTATTGCCACCCATGGCCAAGGTAACATCCAAGACTGAGTTGCAGCCAAGAGCCATGTGTGGGTCCATGGCCCAACTGCGGCTGGGGTCTATAATGATGTTCATGCCAGAGGCCATGGGAGACTGGCCAGCAGGTTCCCCTCTCCACTCCCAGGAGTACCTACCCCTGACCCTCCATGGCCCTGGGAGAATCCCTCCCCCATTACTGGTGCCACAACTAAAGAGCTTGCTCCCATATATGGGAAGAGCTAACCCTGAACCTCACCTGAGGGTGTAATGCTGGTGGAGGCTGGGAATGACCAACTTAGCTACCACCCAGGCCCACATCTAGGGCTCTGAGTTGGCTCATCCCAATATCTATCCATCTAAGACCCCTGGAGTTCATGAAGGGACCAGTCCTGTGGAACCATAACTGCAGGATCTCCATGACTTTGGACAACATAAGGATACCTGAGAGAAGTTTCAATGAGAATCTAGTATTAGTGGTATACTAGAAGTCAGAGATCTTGAACCAGACCAACAATCCAGTGCAATGAACACTTCTAAGTAAAGCTGTTTGGGCAAAAGGGTATACTCTATGACACACTGCAGCTCCCAAGACCACTACAATGAAACAATGTGATGGCAAGACAGGAAACATGGACAAGCAAATTTTTTATTCTTAGGGAGAAGGGGCTACAAGGGGGGAAGGTTGATGTGGAAGGACTAGGAAATGAGTGGGATTGGGGTGCATGATGTGAAATTCCCAAAGAATCAATTTTAAAAATATTACAAAATAAAGAGATAAAGTTGAAATTTCATTTGGAAACATTTTTAGGAGAGAAATGAAGGAAACTCCAGGGAGATTGTTTATGTGAGTTATAGCAAGAGCTATCATATGAGAAATTTAAATCTAAATACTTACTTAGTTGTCTTAAAATAATTATGATAAAACCATTTTTATAATGTAACCCAGGCTAGTTTCCAACTCATGATCCACCTGCCTCCACCTTTCAGCATAACCTACCATTGTATGCCACCACAATTGGTTACAATAAAACTTTTTGGTAGGGGGGAATCTTCAAGATAGAGTCTCACTATAACTCAACCTGTCCTGGGAACTCGCTCTGTAAATCAGGCTGCCCTCAAATTCACAGAGATCTGCCTGCCTCTCCCTCCTGAGTAGTGGGATTAAAAGCATGTACTACCATGCCCTACCAGCAATAAAACTTTTATATACTAATATACCCATCTTATGAAAAGTATATACACTTACCCAAACAGAGTAAAAAAATGAGTGAGAAGAGTGGCACTGGCCGATATTCATTACACTCCGGGAACTGATTGATAAGCATGCAATACTGTGGCTTGAGTTAGTCATCAATTAGACATCCCAAAAAACACATAAACATTCTCCAAAATGTAAAAGTAAAGAGAAAATGAAGCCCAAAGTGTCGGAAATTTAACTGTTATTTTATTTCCATCTTTAAAAATCAAAATTTGAATTTGATAAAGATTGGAAATTATTATAGATATGTTAGCATTACAAAAGAGAGTGGAAAAAAGAAGAATCGAAGAAACTAAAATATTCAAAAATGACAATAATAAGCTTATAAGAAAACTTACACTTTAGAAAAGGAAAGGCAACTTGATTGCAAGCAAACCCTTCCTTTTATAAAATTATAAAATGACCATCTCCAAGGAATACACACAGAGAAATACATGTGTTCATGCCTACATATACCCACAGATACATATATCTGTAGTTATTTATGTTAACACTTGGAAAAGACTATAGTACAAAGTATAACTAAATTAGATCATTACTACTAGTCCATGTCCTGAAGAATCACTGTAAATATAATGCACATATATTTTATTCAGAGTTCAAAACATGCTATCTATTAACAGGATAATAAATTAAGAGTTAAGGTGATCAGTGAATAAATATGCCTTTTTACTTTATCTGAAAGGCTGTATTTTGTTTTTTATATAAATCAGAAGATTGAGATATCCAACAAACTACTAGGTCTATGTAGAAGACCCCACTTTGTGTCTCCTAGAAGGAACTTATCCACTGACTTTATTACAAAATACTTTATTACAAAATTATGCACTAGGTCACTGCACTCATAACAGAATCTAAACAATTGTGAAACATTAAATCTTCCTTTTCAGTTTTTTTCAATTGCTAAGTATATAGGTAACTGGAAAATTCAATAGATTCATAGGAAAAAACTGAAATAGAGTATAAGAAGGGCAAAGTCTAACAGACCATCTTGCACTGAAAAAGCCAAGTTTCCAACTAAATAAAAACATCTTTTAAACTAATGTTAGTATGGAATTATAAATATTTTAATATCAATAAAATATAGTCAGTTTTTATTATTCTTTTCAGTTATAAAGATGTCAAGAGTCTTACTTAGTTTGATTCATATGATTACTACATATAATTTCTTATCTTATTCTTAACAACATTAATTCATGTCCCAGAAGAGTGTCATGAAATGTTAAGCATTCCATGTAGGCTGGATACTTTCAGGAAAACAAAGATACAAAATACTTATAAAGCCTACTACATAATCTGTAGTTGATCCATTCAACAACAGTGTTGAATAATTTTGGTTTAATTCTATTGTATTAATCAGTTTTCAGGGAAGCTATCATTTTTTAGAAAGTCATATAAGTGTAGACATTGTCTGAGGAATGGTGTTGTAAAGAATAAATGAAACTTACTTTAGTGTTTTAAGAAAATTAATAGAAGTGATATAGCAGATTACAGTGTTCTGTTTCATAATTTGGAGTTAAGTTACTGTCAAAGCATCATATAAAAAGTATTTCTGTAACTACAAGCTAGAGTAGTATACAAAATTCTCACCAGAATCTGAATGTCTGTAGCCTGCTCTTGAACCATGTGAATTGCTTTCGCCAGATCTTCTTCTCCTTCTGGAATGCTGAAGTTGTCATCTGGTATCTAGACAAGGGCAGGAAGAATGGGCAGAAATGTCAAGTACAATATATCAGTCCCTGATTATATGAAGGATACATTCTCAGACAAGCTGCGGATGCTTCAAACTGTGGTTAGTTTTCAACCTCACATCTAGTATTGTTCCCATATAAACACACAATACAGTTTAACTTATAAAGACACAATAAGAAACTAGTAATGACAATAATAGTAAAATAACAATCATAACAAAAGACTCCAATAAAGCCATTTAAAACTTATTCTCTATTTATGGAGTTTTCAAGACCAAATTTTGGACTATAGTTGACAATGGGTAACTAACAGCCAGAAATAGGGTACAATATTGGGCAAGTCTCACATGGTCTCTTGCACTGAGGAAGTAAATTATACAACTAAATAAAAAGGATCATTTTTAATTAATGCTGATATGGAAACACAAAGGGACACATATACATTTAATTTCAGAAGATTTTTGTCCTACATTAACGCTTCCAAGAAATACACACCATGTAGGGCACGGCATGCTTCTAAAGATGAACTAACTCTATGTAGCTAACAAGTTTCTTGACTGTTAGTCACAGGCCAGGCTCGCTTCCACAGTTTTGCTCACTTTCTGACATCTAAATGTGACTTGACATCCAAGCCTCAGAAGCAATGAATTAAAGGAAAATACCAACACAAGAGCATATTTTACAGAACTAAAATTAGGACAGAAGAAAGAAGAGGCCTGAGATCTAACTGGAGCTGGCAATCTGGAATCCCTGTCAAGAGCTAGCTGGACAAAGGAGAAGGTCCTATATAGTAATGACCATCTATGAGGCCACAGACAAGAGAGGTGACAGGAGCTGAACCTAAACAGCGATGTGGGAAACAAAACAGGCAGATTTCCCACCCAGGGTAAATGTTTATGTAGAATTTTCCCAACTACTCACAATAGCCAATAGTGACCTTCTGTTCAAAACATAGTTTATCTTAAATAAAGTCCTTATACGTTCCAGAAAATAAGACAAACCATTCATATGAATGACTACAGTGAACTCACTAAGATATAAAAATAACAAGTTACCTCTTCATATTCACAGTCATCTTCAGAAGCTTCAGTTATGGTGACCTCTGAGTATTTTGTTAAGTTTAAATGCAAAAAAAGTGAAATAATGTTATTATATCAAAATTACTTGACCTCAAATACCATGTAGGATCTAATAACCTCAATATTCAACTTGTAAATACATGTAATTTACTTTTCAACGTTTTATCTCCATAAAGCCTGTAATTTTAGAATTGAATTATTTCAACTAGCATTTTATATCATTAAGTCCATGAAAAACTACATTCATATCTGTTTGTATGAATATCATCTAGTAACTCCCAGTTTGATCTTAAGCCTATTTACTAAACTACAGAATATCATTAAGATAGCATGAATTAGAAAAGATGGGTGGGATTGACTCTCAATGGGTAGACTGACTCTCACACAAGCATAAGAACCCAAGTTCAGAGACTCAGAACCCACATAAAGGAGACAGGGTGGGAGGCTGGAAGACCAGATAGCCAGCAGAAACAGCAGTGAACAGTTGTCACCCTCTCCAAAATGATGGAACTTGGGGACAAACAGTGAGATTGTCCTCAGATCTCCATAACATAGCATGAATAATTCTATACTTACACACAGGAACACACACAGACACAAACACATTTGCACATGTGTGTACATGCATTCACATAAGGATAAATACGAAAATAGTATATTTTTCTAATTATCTGAAGCAAAACTGAATTTTCAAAAGCTTCTATATATTCATATCACATGAATACTTGGTTAAGGTATCATAAGTGAACAACACAAATGTCACAACAATACTTAGAAATAGATAAACACAGGGTTTGAGAAATGACTCGGAGGTTAAGAGCATTGACTGTTCTTTCAGAAGTCCTGAGTTCACATGGTGGCTTGCAACTATCTATAATGAGATCTGGTGCCCTCTTCTGGTGTGAAGGCAAACATTTATGCAGAACACTCTGTACATAATACATAAATAAATCTTTAAAAAACAAAGTAAACACATATCAATTTTTATTTTAAAATTTTTATTCATTTTACATGCCAACCACAGTTCTCCTTCCCTCCTCTCCTCCTGCTCCCCCCACATCCCCCACCCCATCTCCCATCCACTCCTCAGAAAGGGTACCACCTCCCATGAGGAGTCAAAAAAGTCTGGCACATCAAGTTGAGGCAGGACCAAGTCTCTACCCCCTGTAACTTGGCTGAGCACGGCCTACCATAGGGAATGGGCTCCAAAAAGCCAGCTCATGCTCCAGGTCCTGATCCAGGTCCCAATGCCAGGGACCCTACAAATATATCAAGCCACACACCTGTCTCTCACATTCAGAAGACCTAGTTCAGTCCCATGTAGGATCCCCAGCTGTCGGTCTAGAGTCTGAGCTCTCACGACCTCAGGTCAGCTATATCCCCACCAAAATCTTGACCCCCTCATTGCTCATATAATCCCTCCTACCTCTCTTTAACTGGACTCCCTTATCTCTGCCTGGTGCCTGTATATAGACCTCTGTATTTATTTCCATCGTTTACTGGATGGAGGCTCTATGATAACAATTACGGTACTCACCAATTTGATTATAGGAAAAGTCCAATTCATGCACCCTCTCCACTATTGCTAGTAGTCTTAGCTGGGGTCATCCTTGTGGATTCCTAGGAATTTTCCTAGCACCAGGTTTCTCCCTAACCCCATAACAGTTCCCTCCATCAAGATAGCACTTTCATTGCTTTCCTACTCTATCTCTCCCCAAACTCAGCCATCCTTTTCCCTCATGTTCTCATCCTCCATCCCCTCTTCTTTACCCTCCCAAGACCCCAGGTTACTCAAGACATCTTTTCTATTTCTCCTTGCCAGGGCAATCCATGCAACCCTCTTATGGTCCTCCTTGTTACCCAGTTTCTCTGGAGCTGTGGATTGCAGTCTGGTTATCCTTTCCTTTGCATCTAGTATCCACTTAAGAGTGAGTACATACTGTTTTTGTCTTTCTGAGTGTGGGTTACCTCACTCAGGATGATTTTTTCTAGTTCAATCCATTGCCTGCAAATTTCATGATGTCATTGTTTTTTACATACTCCATAGTGTAAATGTACTACATTTTGTTTACCCATTTTTCAGTTGAGGATAATTTAGGTTGTTTCTAGGTTCTGGCTATTACAAACAATGCTGCTGTGAAAATAGCTGAGCAAGTGTCCTTGTGGTATGATTGAACATTCTTTGGCTATATGCCCAAGAGTGGTAATGCTGGGCAAATGGATTCCCAGTTTCTGAGAAACCGCTGTACTGATTTCCAAAGTGGCTGTACAAGTTGTACTCCCGTCAACAATGAAGGAGTTTTCCCCTTACTCTACATCCTCTCTAGCATAGGCTGTCATCAATATTTTTGAAATTAGCCATTCTGACAGATGTAAGACAGCCACTTACAGTTGTTTTGATTTATATTTCCCTGATGAGTAAGGATGCTGAGCAATTCCTTAACTGTCTTTTAGTCATTTGAAATGCTTCTGTTGAGAATTTTCTGTTTAGATCTGTTCCCCATAGTTAATAGGATTACCTAGTATTTTGATGTCTAGTTTCTTGAGTTCATTATATATTCTGTAGATCATCCCTCTGTCAAATGTGGGGTTGGTGAAGATATTTTTCCATTCTGTAGGCTGCTATGTTCTCTTATTTACTGTGTACTTTGCCTTAAAGAGGCTTTTCTGATGGGGGAAGTCATTTTGTGTATATGTTTGTCTTATTGGTTGATAATTAAAGCACTGTTGGCCAATAGGGAAGCAAGACAGGTTGGATCAGGAGAGGTGGAAGATTCTGGAAAACAGAGGCACAGTTAGTCACCATGTAGGATGCAGGAGGAGTAAGAGGTCTGGACCCTTTCTCCAGTAAGAGAAAACCACATGGAAATACTAAGATTGGCAGTTATGGGTTAAAAATTTTAAGTCAGAGATAGCCAATAAGAAACCATAGAAAATGGCCAACAGCTTCATAACTAATATAGTGTCATACATGTTCATTTGGGACCGATGTGGCTCTGGGACCAGGCTGGTGGGAAGAATTTTCATTACCATTTTCAGTTTCAGCAGGTCCTGTTTACTGATTGTTGCTTTCAGGGTCTGTGCTGGTGTTAAATTTAGGGAACAGACTCCTGTACCAATGCATTCAAGGCCATTTCTCACTTTCTCTTCTATAGAGTATAGTGTACCTAGACTTAGGTTGAGGTCTTTGATCCACTTGGACTTGAGTTTTTTTGCATGGCAATAGATATGGATCTATTTATATTCGTCTACATGTTAATATCCAGTTATTCCAACACCATTTGTTGAAGATTCTTATATTTTTCTCATTGTACAGTTTTGGCTTCTTTGTCACAAATCAGGTGTTCATAGGTGTGTGGATTAATATTAGGGTCTTTGATTCAATTCCAATGATTCACATGTCTGTTTTTATGCCAATATCAAGCTGTTTTCAGTACTATAGTTCTATAGTTGAGCCTCTGGAAGTTCCTTTATTATACAGGATTATTTTAGCTATCCTGGGTTTTTGTTTTTCCATATGAAGTTCAGTTTTATTCTTTCAAGGTCTCTGAAGAATAGTATTGGGATTTTAATGGGAATTGCATTGAATCTGTAGATTGTTTTTGGTATATTGGTCCTACCTATCCAAGAGCATGGGATATCTTTCCATTTCTGATATCTTCTTCAGTTTCTTTCTTCAAACACTTAAAAGTTCTGGTCATATAGACTTTCACTTCTTTGGTTAGTTATCTCAAGATATTTTATATCATTTGGGGCTAGTGTAAGAGCGATGTTTCTCTGATTTTTTTCTCGGCCCATTTATCATTTGCATAGAGGAGGACTACTGATTTTTTTGAGTTAATCTTGTATTCTGCTACATTACTGAAGGTGCTTATCAGCTGTATAAGTTTCGTGGTAGACTTTTGGAGGTCACTATCATAACATCTGTAAACAGCAAAAGTTTGACTTCTTCCTTTCCAATTTGTATCCCCTTGATCTCCTTTTGTTGTCTTATTGTTCTAGCTAGAACTTCACTTATTATATGGAATATATATGGAAAGAGTGGACAGCCTTGTTTATTCCTAATTTTTTGTAGAATCAATTTGAGTTTCTCTCCACTAAATTTGATGATGGTTGTTGGCTTGCTGTAAATTGCCTTTTTTTTTTTTTTTTTTTTTTTTGCTTAGGCATGTTCCTTGTATCCCAGATCTCTCCAAGATCCTTATCATGAAGAAGTATTGTATTTTGTCAAAGGCTTTATCAGCATCTAATGAGATGATCATGTTGGTCTTTTTTTATTTAAGTTTGTTTATATGGTGCACTACTTTGACAGATTTTCCTATGTTGAACCATGCCTGCATCACTGGCATGAATCCTACTTGATCGTGGTGGATGATATTTCTGATGTGTTCTTGAAGTTGGTTTGCCAATATTTTAGTATTTTACATCAGTGTTCATGAGGAAGATTGGACTGTAATTCTCTTTTTTGTTGCATCTTTGTGTGGCTTGCATATCAGGGTAGCTCTAGTCTCTTAAAAAAGAGTTTGGTAAATTTCCTTCTGTTTCTCTTGTGTGGAAAATTTTGAGGAGTATATTGGATCTTCTTTGAAATTCTTTTAGAATTCTGTGATGAAACCATCTTGTCCTGGGCTTTGTTTTTTTTTGGGGGGGGGACACTTTTAATAACTGCTTCCATTTCCTTAGGGATTATAGGTCTATTTAAATTGTTGATTTAATTTTGATGTTTTGTACCTATCCAGAAACTTGTCCATTTCTTTTACATTTTCTAATTTTATGGAGTATGGGCTTTTGAAGTATGACCTAATGATTCTCTGGATTTCATCAGTATCTGTTATTATATTTCCCCTTTCATTTATGATTTTGTTAGTTTGAATATTCCCTCTGTCTTTTGGTTAGTTTTGATAAGGGTTTGTCTATTTTTTTCATTTTCTCAAAGAGCCAACACTTTGCTTCATTGATTCTTTGTATTGTTCTCTTGTTTCTATTTTATTGATTGCAGCCCTCAATTTGAATTTTCCTGCCA